TCGGGGCCCGCGGGGGCCCCAGCCCCGAGGGCGTATCGGCCAGGACGTGGAAGTGGGAGGTCGGCGGGGGGCCCATGGGGGTGGGCCGGCTCTCGGCGTCCACCTGGTAGTTGATGAGGCCCCACTGCTCCAGGAAGGCGTGGACCCTGCGGAGAGCCGGGGCTCAGACCCCGCCGGTCCCTCCGCCAGCGCCAGGGTGCCGAACTGGTCCCCCCGGCTCCACCGGCGCCGGACCCACCGCATGATGGCACAGACGTCCCCGGCCAGGTTGCGGCGGCATGCCGTGGAGGTCAGGTACTCCTGCGGGTTCAGCCGGTACGTGTCGATCATGAAGTTGCGGTAAGCCAAGTATCTGGGGGAGAGTGGCGAGGCGTCAGTGCGGGCCACGGCCCCACCGGCACCGGGAGAGACGGGGAAGTGCGGGGGGGGTTCAGCCTCACATTTCGGGGGTCTTGGATTTATTCTTGCCATTGAAGAACTCGGGCAGGGCTCGGCGCTCGATGGCGTGGACGCTGCAAGATGAGACGCTCGCGAAGGGCCCGGCCCGGCGGCCCCACGCCATCCGGCTGGCGCCCCGGGGCACCGTCCTCACCCTCGGCTGCCCCGTACCTGTTGTAGTCGAACCAGGCGGCGTAGCTGGGGATGATGATGTGGTGGGTCTGCTCCGTCACGTTGTCCTCATGCAGGTCAGGGTTCTTGGCCTGCTCCCCCTTGCTCCCGGTGCCGTTCTCCTCCTCGTCCTGCCAGAGACCAGCATCACGTGGGCAAGGGGCTCCTGAGACCCCTTTTGCACCCTTCCTCATCCTCACCGAGAGCACGATGAGGCCAATGGCCTAGGGCAAAGCCGCCTGCAGCCCCAGGGCAGGGCAGAAAGGGGCCCTTGTCCCCAAAAGGGGGACAAGGAAAGAGGGATAAGAGGCGACCGTGAGCGATGGTGAGCCCGTGCTGGGGTGGGAACATCTGCCCTGCAGACGGGCCTGGGCCTCACCTTGCCGGCCGTCTCCATGCTTTCATCTTCCTGCTCATCTGGAAGAGAGGAGGGCGGGGGCGGTTTTGGGCACTGCCAGGTCTGTGGCGCCGGGGGACCTGCTGCGGCGCACGGCCCCGGCGGCTCGGACTCACCCAGGTCCGTCATGGTGCCCCCCTTGACGGGCGCAGACTCCGAGTCCTTCTTGGTGTTGACTGCAGTGGAGGGAAGTGGTGCTGAGCACCCCAAGGACGAGCCCCGACCCCAGCGGACCCCCACTCACCTCCAGCAGCAGCAGCGTCTCCTGCTCCGTCCACTCCCGCGTGGCGCTGGCGGCGGCTTTGCTCTGCGCGGGGAGAGAGGGGTGAGCGGCGGCGGGCAGGAGGACGGGGACGGGGACGGGAGGTGCCCACCTTGGAGGGGACGTTCTTCTTGGTGTACATGTCGGTGCGGAGGCCGAAGTTCTGCATGTCGGCCGGCTTCTCCTTGCTCTTGTCGGGGAAGTTCAGCATCTGCTGCGAGGCCGAGGTCTGCTGCTGGGGGAGGAGAGGGGACGCTGGGGACGCGGCCACGGGGGACAGGCCGCGAGGATGCCGGTTCCCCCTCCGTCCCAGAGAAGCCTTCGTGCCCCATCTCGTCACGGTGTCCCCCCCGCGTCCCTGCTCCCCGGGGCAGGGCGGCATGCGGGGCGCGAGGGGGAGGAGGGAAGGAGCCTTCCTCGGCCAGCGGCGGGGCGACGGACCCCAAGGAGCCGCCTACCAGCTCCGGCTTCCCCTTCACCGTCTCGGTGACGAGGTCTTCGATCTCTTTGCTCTTGCGGCCCGTCTTGGCGTCGCCGTCGCTCTGCCGGCCCTGAGGCACGGATCGAAGCTGTGCGATCCCCCCACCCCCCGCCCCACCCCGCGCCCGGCCCCCGCGGGGACCGGGGAAAGGCAGAGGGGGGACGCGGCTGGGCGCGGAGCAGCCGCCCCCGCAC